CTTTCATTGCCAACAAAGGCTTTTGTACAAAGTATTAGATAAATTTCAGTAAGCGTGTTCAATACTTTTTCCTTGTGCCATTTTGATTTCTTTGTATGTATGGATCACTTGGGCTGTTACCGACATCTGGTGAAAATTTCATGTCATTAGCACCTCTAGTAATATATTTACTGAGAAAAATGGTGACGTGTTCAATACTTATTTTACCCGCTGTATGGATCCAGCAGCTCAGAATAAAACTAAAGTTTAGGCTCAGGTTTTTCCTCACTATCAGCCCTGAACATATTATTCTCCTCTTACTGAAATTCGTGTGGATAATCTCTTAGCTGGGTTTTCTGACTGCAGTGTAGTAATCCCCAAAAAGTGACAGCTAAGATGGTTTGTGTGAATATGGATGCCAGCTGTGTGGTCTCTGTTGCCTGCTGTTGTTTCCACAACTTTGCAGAGCAGAGCTGCAGACACACTGCTCCCCTTCTCATCCACTGAACAGATGAATGCTGACTTCACCATTTAAAGGGAAAGATTGAGCTTTAAAAACTTGAAAAAAAAAGACTGTTCAAGGAGATAAATTAAGCAAATAGAAAGCAAAATTTGTAATCAACCAAAACATATGACTGGTGCAGTTCTACTAATTTATTGTTGTATTATTAAGCATATTTGACCATGGTTCAAGACACATCCAGGTTTAGTCTCGATCTACAAAGCATTTTAAAAACAGCAGTGCAGCGGAGCATGCTTTTGATTAAAGTATAAAACTTTTCTGTTTTTATTATGCAAATGATTGTATTATAGTATTATTAGCTTGCTTTCTCTGCTTTCTAAATGAGAAATCAAGCAAATTCTAGTCAAGTCTGACTTGTTCAGTCTCAGGTCTGTCATTCAGCATTGGTAAATAAAACGACATGTCAGAACCGTGCTAATGAAAATTTGACTTTTTTCGAATAAAATACAACTTTTGTTTTTCTAAAGTCTTTTAAAAGAAGACCTTTAAGTTATTAATATTAATATCTGGAAATAATCAATAAAAACTGAATCCATAATCTGTTTTAGAATTTTTATTTACTTTTTTTTGTTTTACCAATGAAAGTCAGTGGTCTAATTTTAACTTGGTGTGTTTGGGCTTTAAACTCTACCATGCTTAATTAACTGATCATTTTTTCACTGTAGACCTCCCAGCCACAAAATTATAATCAATGGAAAAGAGTGCATTAATTTTGCTTCGTTCAACTTCCTGGGCCTGCTCGATAATGAACGTGTTAAGGTTACTATTTTATTTTTATTTTTTAATTTTATCCTGATGAATTTAATTATTTTTTTATCTTTGATGAAATATTGTTTTAATCTCTTGTTGTAGGAAAAAGCTTTGGCATCACTGAAAAAATATGGTGTTGGCACATGTGGTCCAAGAGGTTTCTATGGGACTTTTGGTGAGTGAGCATTTTTTTTTCTCTCTTCTTGGTTAATTAAAGACGTAGGAATGAAATGTGAGCCACAAATTTGCCAGCAGGAAGTAATCTTTCTACTTAAAGTGACGGAGGAAAAGAGAGGCAGAGCATCGCAGCAACAGATCTGTTACTCGTCACTCTAGCTGTAGCATGCAGTGGAAAATTAAATTGTCACAAAACAGTTTTTTCCTCTCTCCCAGATGTTCATCTGGAACTGGAAAGTCGTCTGGCCAAGTTCATGAAAACAGAAGAGGCAATCATCTATTCATATGGCTTTGCAACCATTGCTAGTGCGATCCCTGCGTACTCCAAGAGGGGGGACATAATCTTTGTGTGAGTGCTGTTTCTGCTATATGTTTGGAGGGAAGTTAAACAGTCAGCTCGGTGTTAGAAAACAACCTTTGAGTCGTTTTGTTTTCCTTACCTTCGTGCCAAAGAATGCTTGCTTACATGTGAGAGTTACTTGACTGGTTTCCTTCCATAAACTGATATTTTTAGTCTTGTTTTGTGTTCAGGGACGAAGCGGCCTGTTTCTCCATACAAAAAGGTCTTCAAGCTTCTCGTAGCTTCATCAAATATTTCAAACACAACGACATGGAGGATCTGGAAAGGCTGCTTAAGGAACAGGAGCTGGAAGACCAGAAGGTTAGCACAGGGCTGCAGAGATTATTCACCACCACTGTGGAGTTGTACTTTACGCTGTATGTTGTTTTTATAATCATCTTTTTATACCAACGTACTTTTGTTTCTGTTGCAGAATCCCCGTAAAGCTCGAGTAACAAGGAAATTTATTGTGGTGGAGGGATTGTACATCAACACTGCTGACATCTGTCCTCTCCCTGAGCTGGTAAAAGCAAAACTCCAAAAGTGTTGTGTTATGTGTATCAAGTTTATTTTATTTCAATTTGTGTCTATGTAAAAAAAACAACAACAAAAACTTGTATTGTGGCAAGTTGATCCAAGGCTGTTCTGCTTCTGAGCCGTCAAGAGGTAGTCACAGAGCTGAGTTGGTGTAACGTGGGAAGCAACATGAGTGCTGTGGAACCAGAGCGGTGCAGAAGCTCACAGAGTTATGGGACATGATTTACTGGATTGTTTCATGTGTGAAAACCAAAGGCAGCTTAAAAAGATCAACTAAATAAATAAAATTTATTTGTGAAAATTTGCAAAACACCCTCATTTAAAACTTGCTGAAAATATATTCCAGGGTGGGAAGTCAGTTTTCTTGGCTTAATACAATTTTTTTATTTCTGTTTGGCAAAGTCCATTGTCTGTCCTAGAACTCTTATTACATTTCAGATTTTAAAGCTATGTTTTTTTCCTTCTGGAAACCTACTAATATTACTTATTCAGGTTATTGTGCTGAGTTAATTAGACAGATAAAATTCAGTAGAAATATAATTCTGTTGTTCCTTCTTTACAGATGAGAACTCAGTCAAGCCAACACTTTTCAGATTCAATTTGCACACTACTGATATTGATTCAAGGGATTTTTTTGTGCACGTGTTCGAGAATCACAACATAAACCTTCTCGTACTACCTTCCCTGCTGCTGGCAAAGAAAGTGCACCCTCACTCAGCACATACAACAGTTTGAGTCAAAATACAGTAACTTTAGGCAACCTTGTCTGTCATGGAAACTACAGCGGATTCAACAAACGCAGCAATATCAATTCAATTCTTTATTCATTTCATTAAAACAAAACAAAAAATTTTATATACGATATACAATAAAAAGAAAAATAAGAGAAACAAAATGGACAGAATTTCTAGGCGCAGCTGAGGTGTTGAGGGGATCCGTTTTGGTGGCCTTAGGATCACATCTCTGCTTTTTGCGGATGATGTGGTCCTGTTGGCTTCATCGGAACGTGATCTGCAGCTCTCGCTAGAGCGGTTCACGGCCGAGTGCGAAGCGGCCGGGATGAGGCTCAGTGCCTCCAAATCCGAGGCCATGGTCTTGAGCCGGAAAAGGGTAGAGTGCCTTCTCCGGGTCCGGGTCAGGGGGGTCGTCCTGTCTCAAGTGGAGGAGTTTAAGTATCTGGGGATCTTGTTCACGAATGGGGGAAGAACGGAGCGGGAG